GTCATCTAAAAAGTTCTCAGTTCATACATCACTGCTCTCCAGCTGATTTTTAGATAAAACTCCATGAACCGCTACAATGTCAATGCACGGAGCTACTGCCAGCGGGACAATTAACAGAAAATGTTTGTCCGAACTCACAAGATTTGCAAGACAACGGAGCTTTGATTTTTTTCCTCCCATCCCATATTTTCTTCCACCACCCATTAGTGGTTCCATAAGTTTAATCTGTTACTGTAAAATTTAGTTTAGTTTTTCTGCCAAGGTTTGTTCTCCATTCTTTCACCTGAAATTTAATTGAACATTTCACATTCAACAATAATATTGATCTGCCTGCATTGACACCATTAAATGAGAACTGAACTGAGCTGGATGATGACATCACTGTTTCTCCAGAGTGGCTATATATATATATATATAAATTAACTAAATTACTAACTTTTTTTCCGACAAAAAGGAACCATCATTTAAATTAAGCTGGACTATGTATCCTAGAAACAAACTTTTTTGCATTATTTTCCTGTTATCTTGTTACAACACAGATCAATAATATTGTTGAATATTAAATGTCCTGTTGGACATATTCAATAATATTATTGATCTGTGTTGTGTTACGTTAATGTTATCAGTGTGAAGCTGCTTTGATACAATCTGTATTGTAAAAAATGCTATATAAATAAATGTGACTTGACTTGACTTGACTTATCTCTGTAAAGCTACTTTGAAATAATCCGTATTGTAAAAAACAAAACAAAAAAAAACAAAAAACAAAACAAAACGCTGTATAAATAAAGGATACCTGACTTGACATTTCTCAAAAGATATTTATGGTTTGGTTCAAAAACATTAATGCAAATTGAAAGGATTATTTATTAAAAAGACCATATTAATTGGGGGATATGGGGGGGGGGGGGGGGGGATGGGTGTTGATTTACATGAATTGATTTACATGTACATCAGTTCCACTCATGGGACTTTCGGACAAAACTTTCGGACTGAAGCTTCCTGTTTGAGTCATCATCACTGCTTAGGAGCAACAGTGGGAGAAATCAAACCTCCTCTTTTAGTGTGTGTTTGTGTATAGATTTGAGAGTCATCATTCATGATGTTTATGTTGTTAGAGTTATATTATGGTATACACTCACCTAAAGGATTATTAGGAACACTATACTAATACTGTGTGTGACCCCCTTTCACCTTCAGAACTGCCTCAATTCTACGTGGCATTGATTCAACAAGGTGCTGAAAGCATTTTTTAGAAATATTGGCCCATATTGATAGGATAGCATCTTGCAGTTGATGGAGATTTGTGGGATGCACATCCAGGGCACGAAGCTCCTGTTCCACCACATCCCAAAGATGCTCTATTGGGTTGATATCTGGTGACTGTGGGGGCCATTTTAATACAGTGAACTCATCGTCATGTTCAAGAAACCAATTTGAAATGATTCGAGCTTTGTGACATGGTGCATTATCCTGCTGAAAGAAGCCATCAGAGGATGGGTACATGGTGGCCATAAAAGGATGGACAAGGTCAAAAACAATGCTCAGGTAGGCTGTGACATTTAAACAATGCCCAATTGGCACTAAAGTGTGCCAAGAAAACATCCTCCACACCATTACACCACCACCACCAGCCTGCACAGTGGTAACAAGGCATGATGGATCCATGTTCTCATTCTGTTTACGCCAAATTCTGACTCTACCATCTGAATGTCTCGAGACTCGAGACTCATCAGACCATTTCCCCAGTCTTCAACTGTTCAATTTTGTTGAGCTCTTGCAAATTGTTGCCTCTTTTTCCTATTTGTAGTGGATATGAGTGGTACCCGATGGGGTTTTCTGCTGTTGTAGCCCATCCGCCTCAAGGTTGTGTGTTGTGGCTCCACAAATGTTTTGCTGCATACCTCGGTTGTAACGAGTGGTTATTTCAGTCAAAGTTGCTCTTCTATCAGCTTGAATCAGTCGGCCCATTCTCCTCTGACCTCTAGCATCAACAAAGCATTTTCCCCCACAGGACTGCCTGTGACGCTGTGCGGAGAAACAGAGCTGAGGCTGGGTCCAAACGCAGTGTAGCTTTATTAAACAAACTTAAAACAAGACACTAGAAGCAAGACTCGAGGGACGTGAAAGCACCAACGTAACACACATAAATTCAACAACCAACAAAGACAGGGCAGAAACACAGGGCTTAAATAATCAAGGACAAACGAGCTAGACAAGATAACAAGGGGGCGTGAGAAATGAGAAACACCTGGGATAAATAATAGACGGGCAATAACTAATAACGAAAACACACAAAACCACTACGTGACATAGCCTCCCCCCTATGGGCGGCTCCCGACGCCCATACAAATATCAAAAAGTTCAGGAGGGCGGTGAAGCGGAGACAGTCTTGGGGGAGGGACGGAGGGCCAGGCCCGTGCAGGGGAACAGGACCAGGAGGTAGCCAAGGCGGGCCTGGGCCGCAGAGCATGGGCCTACCAGACTGGGCCGGAGACCAAGGCGGAGCAGGACGAGGCAGAGGCCAGGGCGGAGCAGGACGAGGCAGAGGCCAGGGCGGAGCAGGACGAGGCAGAGGCCAGGGCGGAGCAGGACGAGGCAGAGGCCAGGGCGGAGCAGGACGAGGCAGAGGCCAGGGTGGAGCAGACTTTGGCGGAGCAGACTCAGACAGAGACGAGGGCGGAGCAGACAAAGGCAAGGTCCATGACAGCCTCGCCTCCATGGCCCTCACAGACTCAGAGGTCCATGTCAGGATCACCTCCATGGCCCCCACAGAGTACCTACTGCCCCCCCCAAAAAATACTTGGGGAAATTCACGGGAGGAGCCTCTGGGTGGTGAACGGGTACAGGAAAGGCCTCCCGGAGCTTGAAGGGTGCAGGCAGAGCGAGGCGCAGAGGCGGGGCCGGCAGGGCGAGGCGCAGAGGCGGGGCCGGCAGGGCGAGGCGCAGAGGCGGGGCCGGCAGAGCGAGGAGTCTGGGCACGCTCACCGGGGCCTGGCGAACCAAACGAGTCCTCCTTCTCCTCCTCCTGCGGCGGCGCGTCACAGGGCGAGACACACTCGCTGGCTGGACAACTCACTCACTTGAACTGGAGATTCAGCGCTCACTTGAAGAGGAGATGCAGCGCTCACTTGAAGAGGAGATGCAGCGCTCACTTGAAGAGGAGATGCAGCGCTCACTTGAAGAGGAGATGCAGCGCTCACTTGAAGAGGAGATGCAGCGCTCACTTGAAGAGGAGATTCAGCGCTCACTTGAAGAGGAGATTCAGCGCTCACTTGAAGAGGAGATGCAGCGCTCACTTGAAGAGGAGATTCAGCGCTCACTTAAAGAGGAGATTCAGCGCTCACTTGAAGAGGAGATTCAGCGCTCACTTGAAGAGGAGATTCAGCGCTCACTTGAAGAGGAGATTCAGCGCTCACTTGAAGAGGAGATTCAGCGCTCACTTGAAGAGGAGATTCAGCCACTTGAAGAGGAGATTCATCCACTTGAACAGGATCACTCACTTGAACTGAAGATTCACTCACTTGAACAGGAGACTCGCTCACTTGAACTGAAGATTCGGCACTCACTTGAACTGAAGACTCAGCCCTCACTTGAACTGGAGATTCATCCACTTGAACCGGAGATTCATCCACTTGAACAGGATCACTCACTTGAACTGAAGATTCACTCACTTGAACCGGAGACTCATCCACTTGAACTGGAGATTCATCCACTTGAACTGGAGATTCATCCACTTGAACTGGAGATTCATCCACTTGAACAGGAGATTCATCCACTTGAACAGGATCACTCACTTGAACTGAAGATTCACTCACTTGAACCGGAGACTCATCCACTTGAACTGGAGATTCATCCACTTGAACCGGAGATTCCCTCGGGGCTCACGTGAATCGCGAGTTCGGCTGGGCTGACGTGAAGCGCGGGCTCGGCTGGGCTGACGTGAGTCGCGGCTCGTCAATGCGCACGTGAAGCGCGGGCTCGTCGTGACTGACGTGAACCAGCGGTGAAGACGACGAGGGCTTCGCGGGTAAAGTACACTCGGCAGGTGTCGAGTAGAATAAGCGCGCAGTAGTGAAGAGGTCCTGCAAGGAACAAGCCCGAGCGACATACCCGTCAAGAGTCCAGTTGGCAAGGTCCCGCGGCATCCATCGAGCGATCTCATAATCCAGCCCATTCAGAAACAGGCCCATGAGCTGGATATCATCTAGCGCTCCCACACTGCTAATGGACAGGAACTCCTTCGCGTACCTTTGGACAGACCGGCCCTCTTGCAAGACTGACGACAGGTATTCTGTCATAGCCCGGTTGCTGACGACTGCTGGACCATTTGAGGTGGTTGTTCTGTGACGCTGTGCGGAGAACAGAGCTGAGGCTGGGTCCAAACCGCAGTGTAGCTTTATTAAACAAACTTAAAACAAGACACTAGAAC